GCGCGCCACCATCTCCGGCTCCGGAGAGAGCAGCGCGCCACCGTCTCCGACTCCCGTAAACCGTCGTAGCACAGCCCAGTCAGGCCAGGAGACACAGCCCAACAGGCGACGTCATCCTGCGCTGGGCCGCGTCGGCAGCTGGCTCCATACTCTCCGTCTGCCCCCCCCCCCCCCCCCTCCCCACCCGTCCTTGGATGGCGGCCGTCGCACGCCGCGCCAGGAGAGGGGAGGGGAGACGCTGCAGACAGCGGACGAGGTGCCTTCCGTGTGCGGCCCAACATGGCGTCGCGACGCCGGCCGAGCTGGCGTCAGAGCGAATTCAAGCAACGAGGTCATGTCCACGGCCAATTTATATCCAGTTGAGCTCGCCTCAGTGGCTCAATCCGCCGTTGACGATACTTGACCTGTGAACGCCCACCTCACACAATTGGCATGGCTGGAGGGTGCAGCAAGACGCGGGCCGGTGCAGTACGCGGTCGACTGGTCAGTGGCGCTAGGCTCCGGAGCGCGCGCCGGTCACACATGGCAGAGCCGCTGCCGGCCACCAGAGCACGGCCACCGAGCGACGACTGGTCAGTGGTGAGAGGGTGCGCAGCGCGCGCCGGTCACACATGGCAGAGCCGCTGCCGGCCACCAGAGCACGGCCACCGAGCGGCGACTGGTCATTGGTGAGAGGGTACGCAGCGCGCGCCGGCTACTCATGCCAGAGCCGCTGTCGGCCACCAGAGCACGGGCACCGAGCGGCGACGACAGCGGTAAGGTCAGGTTTAGGTGGAAGGGGTGCTTCAGTGCTTCAGTGGGTGCTTCAGTGGGTGCTTCAGTGGGTGCTTCAGTGGGTGCTTCAGTGGGTGCTCCAGTCCCCGCAGTTCATGTTGAGCAGAAAGATCTAGAGATCTTCTTTAAAGATTAAAGATTAAAAGATCAAGATTGAAAGATTGAAAGATAAAGATTAAGATTGAAAGATCGAATTCTGGGAAAAGCACGTCAGCGTAGTTCGGGGCGCGTTCAACCATTTTCCTGCTCCGCCCCTCCCCCCCCCCCCCCCCCCGCCAAAAAACTTATATTACGAACCTGTGCGCCTTGGCGACGCTGAGTCTACAAAACTCTACGTCCATTTCCCGATGCTCAGCACGCCTTGTGGCATAATTTCTGCACTCAGACACAGTTCTAGAAGACCTCTGAAGAACCGGGGATGTCCAGAGGCCCACCGTAAGGTAGAGAAGTCATGACAAAGTGGAAGGGATGACGAGACAAGGCCCCGTAACTGCGCCTCTTCCGTTAGTCAAACGTGCGGCACGCTGTTTTTGGCCGACTGCCAAAAGAAAACTCATCTCATACCTTTCTTTGAGCACCCAATGCAGTGATCACGTTACCATGTAACCACCACCATGTAACCACCACCATGTAACCACCACCATTCAGTGACCACCACCATGTAACCACCACCATGTAACCACCAACATTCAGTGACCACCACGTAACCCGGGCCAGCCTTCTACCCATTACGCACCTATTTACCTGCGATGCATATCATTACAAACAAACCCATTGATTGTTCCGCCCACGATGATGTGCGTGGCAGAGCTGAACATTTATAGAGGCTCCGATTGCGACGCATTTTCGAATTCCTACCACGTCGGTTCCCCGGTGGGACTCCCCCCCCCCCCCCCCCCCCGTGGGAACACGACAGGCGCTGCTGACAGTGCGCTCGCCACTCCGCTGCTAAAAATCGCTTCTCCAGATTCGAACGCACCAACTTATGACGGCCTCTCGACACATCGGCGTGTGGGTGCAGCGGCTACCGCGACACCCGGGTGGATTGTACCCATTAGCGAGCGGACCCCGTCGGCTGCCTCTGCGGCGGCGGGCCGTGACCGGCGGGCCACCACCTTGGTACGGCCCGATCTAAGCGCCCGAAATCCCCAGTTTGTTCCAAGAACGGGGTCGACCTGTATGAAGGCTTCAAATAACGTCACGCACGCCTGCCAGGAAACCAGGCGCTTGAACAGGTACAATGTGGTTTATTTTTTTATTGATATCTAGTTACTAAGCGCACGAAGAAATATGATGCTGATTATTCGCGGATCATTTTTGGGCTGTGGAATCCTAATATGAGGAGTTCGTTCGCCGCCACCAAAATAGCCCGTAAACTTTACACCCCTTTCGCATACAAGACGCCTAAGAACTGCGTTGATTAGAATACAGATCGAAAACGAAATCTGAAATCAGATGGAAGTCAACCAAATTCCACTACTCCCGCCGCACTCCTCGGCGGCGCCGGTCATCATCCATCCTCGCCGACAGCGGACGCTGCAGCGCCGGGCTAGTGCTGCATTCTGAGCAGACACTCGCTACTCGGGCGCACCTCTGTTCGTCTTTTTCAGCTCAAGGACGCGTTCGCACCACACGAATTCTAAATTATCCGACGTCAAGGCGAAAATGTAAAATTTAATTCAAAGCACGGTCATGGTCTTATTTGACACCAGCCTGATAAATAGCATGAGTAGAGCACCAGCGCTGCGCCTATATCATTGCTGACGGTAATGTCGTGGTGACGCTGCAGGAGCCGGACCACGCGTTCCCGACGACAAATCATGGCTGCAACGCCAAGAGCAATGCCATCGCCCGAACCATAAAATGGCCACCGTAGCATACCTTGTCCAACGTAGGGGATTTCCCAAATAATCTGGGCTGATTCGGTCACTGTACGAAGATGAACGTCAACATTAACGCCCCCTTAACAATAAAGTACCTGACATAACCGACTCCAATTTCGCGTTTGGAATTCGCCACTAACGCATTACAGCCCGCTCTCGCACGGCACGCACCACGCTTGGAAAAGACGGGTGAAAATCCCTCAAGGTCGGCGGGAGCGTTGGCACGGCGCTGACGCGACGCCAGATCGCCAGCGTCGCCAGATCTGAAGATTTCGGGAGCGGCGCGGCGCGTACAGCCTGCAGAGCTTGGACACTACTGGCCGCCGGCCGCTAGGCAAAATATTGAGCTCCGTTCGGAATTAGATAGACATCAGCAACAGATCGATGGACCGTGTCGGAAACCGAGTTACCTTGCTGCTAATCAAACACTCAATTGTCCAAAAATACCTTAAAAAATAGTTGCCAAACAGCTAAATTTAAATACAAAATTAGCTCGTCATGAAGTGAACAGCTAGCTTGTTTCGGCAAATGCGTTTTTAAAGCGGCGCACTATGTAAAAAATGCTTGGTATTTTTGCGGGAGAATCTAACGTGACAGCAGGTGGCCAATCAACCGTTCAAAGTCAGCTTTTTCTCTGATCACCACATGGTTTGCAGCGAACCTCCAACGGTGTCCGCAATTTGCAGTGTTAAAAACATCATGTTTATATCGGTGGTCGGTGAGGAAAATGGCCTTCCCTAAGGGGAAAGGCCTAAATGGATGGTGCGACCGAGCAATCTCAACAGTAATGAGCACGAGGGACAATGGGCGCCGGTGAAACCAGAACGACATCAAATGATTTTTGATAAAGACAGTGCTTTTAGCATTATTCCTTGTAGAATAACCAGGAGAAAGGAGATGTAGATGCATTGATATTTAGGTTACATGACTATCAAAACGAATATGAGTAATCTCAACATGAATCAACAACCTACTACTCTTAGCCGTTTTGATAAAGGCATGTAGCCGAAATATCAATGCATCTATATCTCCTTGCCCCCCCCCCCCCCCTCCTTACTGTACGAGGAGTAAGGCTAACAGCATTGTCTTTGTACGTGTATATTGCTCCTCGCAAATGCATTTCACAACTTGCAAATGATCTTTGGTGTCATTTGAAAGCGCATCAGCGAGCTACGACCAAAAAGTGCTCGATATTACTTTGAAAAGTGCTCGAGCATTGGAAAATCACAACCCCACGCTTCATTAGCTCCCGGAGATGCATACGTGATGATCTGATCGTAATGGTATTTGGATCTGCGTCACGATTAGACCATATATGGCAAAACGCGCATCGAGACAATGACTTCGAGATGAAAAACAATATACGCACAACGGTGCGAGTGTGCGAAAGCTCATGGGCTATTTAACAACTACGACAACGCTGGTGGTCGGAGACGTATTAACGCAGAGCTGATGCCTCTTTGAGCCCTTCACAAAGCCTCACGCGAAGCCCTTCAAAAGGGCCAGCGTGGCTAATCGACGGGTTGAGCCAGGTCATTTCCTCGAACCCCAAGTGACGACTTGATTAAATGGATCCGACCTACCTAAACAAATATGAAAATGATGCTTTCTAAAAAAAACAGATTTTTAAGACTAATAAACAAGATCTGCTTGCCAACAAAGTAGTTCTGCAACACACACGAACAAAGAGCAGCCGATAAATCCCACTCATGCGCTTTTTCCTCCAACGTAAGGCTAACGCGCTTTCGCAACAAAAGTACTAGCATATGGTATTCTCCTCCCAAAAAGGCCAGCGTTAAGTCAAACAGTTCCCAGACTTATCAAAAAACAAAGATGATGCTCCTATCAAAAAGTGAGGTGCAAATTAATCCTGATAGTCCGGCGATATTACCTTAACATGTGACCGGGAGCGTCTGTTTCGATGGTCACTTTTCAAAGCTGAATATATTTCTTCTTTTATTTTCTGGCCCACCCCGAATTATATGACTGCTCACGGCTCGTCTGAATCTGATGACCGAGCGGGCCCAACCAGGAATAAAGAGGTTTCTTTATTCCTTTTGTTTCCGTTTCTTTATTTATTCGTAGTGGAGGTTTCCTTTTTTCTGGCTCACACTGAATCATATTCTGAAAAAGGAGGACACCACGCACTAGTCCGGTCAGAACAAACTGCCGTCAAACCAACCACGCAAGCAGTAATTAAGCGATGCAAAACGCGATCGAGGCAAAAATCCTATTCACCGACGAATCTGGCGACATGCGCCGATAAATCGCGGCCCGATCTGGAGACATTTCACGGCGGCCCGGCTGGCAGCGTGCCGCCGCGCTGGGCGCATGCGCTGCTGGATCCACTCAGTGGGTGGCGGAGGCGGTGGTCGCTGCGCGCGCTAGTGCGGGGCGGGCTGGAGAGCTCCCGGAGTCAGGGCGTCGCTAGGTGAGCGATTGTCAGCACCGACGAGGACCGCACAGACGGCGCTGTCCGGCTTACACGCGGACGACGGCCGTGATTTGTGTGCTCAAGACGAGTGGCGAAGAGGTGTGAACCTGTTGCTATGCGCATCATCCGCATCCCAAATCACAAGACCGTCTCCGTGGTTTAGGGGAAAGATGCTGGACTCGTAGTTCAGCGGCACTGGGTACGAGTCCCAGAGCTCGCGCACTGACTGGCCCGACTGAAATCGAAAGGCCAGATGGCTACTGGCCAACGAGGTCCATGTCGGCCGTGCCGTAGCATCGTGCGGCGCATGAACCCCGCTGCATTCCTGTCTGGTGAAGGAATGCATATCCTATCCTATATATCATATCACATCATATTTATCATATCCTATACATCATATCCTATACATCATATCCTATCATATCCTATCCTATAAAAGGAGGAAGAAAAATTATCTATTGTACTTGATGCCACAACATGGGTGGCGTGTCAGGGTGCATGCAACAAGCTATGTAGGCACTTTAGCAGTTAGTAGTAGTATTTAGGTACTTTAGTAGGTACTCTGCGCCCAAAGCCACCCCTGCAAACCCTTCGGAACAACATTTAAAAAGTCACCATCACAAACTGAACATAGCGACACTCGTTTGGCATTGGCATATAAACACATCATGGATTTGAAGAAAAGAACGTAATGGGGAGAAACTCTCTGACGGGTTTGCAGCTCCACTCAAAACTCTCACACTCCTGGCCAGTTTGCAGATTCACTCAACAGGTCTCTGACCCGTCTGGTGTAAAGAGAGCGAGAAAGTCCTGCTGTCGTGCTACGGGGCCGCGGCACCGTTCACCTGGCATAGGAAGGGAGGCGTTCGCAGCCCAAAAGGAGCATGTTTCAATGCCAACCTGTGTGGCATGGAATCGGTCGCTCTGGCTACGAAATAACCCCAGCAGGAACAATTTAACACTCGGAAGGTTGAATCTTCTTGACGGTTAGATATGTAGAGGCTCGAACCACGATGCTTCTATGCTTGATATTAACATCAACAGTAATCTACGCTCTGCGCGGCCTCAGCTCGCAGTGCCGTCCATTTTAAATGCTCGTTAAAGGTAGGAAAGTGTTTGCAGCGCATGTGAGATGAATGATGACACTTCTGAAATAAACCACTGTAAAAGTAAGCCACATTACGCAAATCGCGTGATTAAACCGACGCGACGAGCGTACCGCCTCAAACATCCAACCATAGGCAGCTACGAAATTCGAATACCAGCATAAAATGCAAGCGCTGCATAAACCGAAGAGAAAACACTAGTGTAAACTGCGACACTACAAATATACGCTAAGCTATATGCTAAGCTATACTCTATACGGCAATTCACGCTCCCACCAGTCTGATGCAATCTGCCGTGTTTCGCTACCCTCAGAAGACTGCGACGACCGACACAAGCACAACCGCTGCATTTGGTGCAGTAGCACTGCGCGTGCGCAAGCAACAATCTTAACCTTCGTCATCCGTGAAGGTCAAACCCAGTCACGAGCGTCTGACACCATGCAGACCAGGTATGTCCTCACGGCTCACTATATGCACGGCTTGCAATCTGGCCCTCTGTACTTGACTGAATACCTAACTTTTAGGTTATGATATCCATTAAAAAAACCTTATTCTCAGGGTTTACAGATAGCGACGAAAAGATGCCAAATTTTCTTCGGGTGCGAACCTTTATCAACTTGAAAACGAAACACACCGCTGTGGTGTGCTCGTTATTTTCGAACTGATAAAATGCTAGAAGCCGAGTGCATTTCGCATCTTTTCGTCATTTTGTGTGAGCCCTGAGCATAAGGTTACTTGTTAAAATATCATATCATGCTGCTCGTATATGCTGCATCATAGTATCCTCGTATTTATTTGATCATCATATTGCTCAAATTACCTAGGTCCTCTTGGCAACTGTTCAAAACCAGTTGCATTGCAACATTCGGATTCATTTCTGCATAACCGTATTTCCTTGCCACCGATACACCTACTCACATCGTAGGACTTCTGATCGTTAGCCTGTGTCGTCGGCCCTGTTCATAAAACCACCCGTACTGCCGACAGAGGAGCGCCGCCACCGCTGCCTCTGCTGCTGCTCCCGCTGCTGCTACTGCCGGCGGCGCGCGGCGTCCACATGCTCTGGCAGCTCTCGGACGTGCACGTGGACGGCGAGTACGCGGCGACGGGCGCCGCCGCCGCCTGGTGCCGGCCGGAGACGGCCGGCCAGGGCTCCGAGCACTGGTTCGGCCAGCCCGGCTGCGGCCTGCCGTGGCGCACCGTCCAGTCGGCCGTCGACACCATGCGCGCCAACCTGCCGGGCGCCGACGCCGTGCTGTGGACGGGCGACACGGCGCCGCACTGGCCCTACCCCGACTGGACGCACGTGTTCCCCAAGCTGAGGCGTCTCGCCGACATGCTGCGCACGGCGTTCCCAGAGGCGCAGATCGTGCCCGTCATCGGCAACCACGACGCCTACCCGAGCGACCAGTTCCCGTCCGACAACGGCACCTTCTACCACGAGTACCTGGAGCAGAGCGGCTGGAGCGAGCTGCTGCCGGAGTCGGCGCGGCGCACCTTCCGCCGCGGCGGCTACTACGCCGTCGACGTCGGCGACCTGCGCGTCATCGTGCTCAACACGGCGCTCTACTACTACCGCAACCGGGACCTGCGCCACACCGGCGACGACCCGGCCGGCCAGCTGGCCTGGCTGGACGACCAGCTGGCCGCCGGCCGGCCCACCATCGTCACGGCGCACATCTCGCCCGGCTTCCACCACGGCAGCGTCAACCAGACGAGCCTGCGCTCGCCGCACAACTACCAGCTGTGGCGGCGGCTCAACCGCGCCGGCCTCAGCACGCGCATCGCCAACATCTTCGGCCACGAGCACATGGACACGTTCCAGAACGTGTACCGCCGAGACATCCGGCTCGAGCAGCACACGTCGGCGCTCAACACGTACTTCATGGGCCCGAGCCTGTATCCCGGCGCGCGCAGCCGCCCCCGGAACCCGGGCGTGCGCGTCTACACCGTGGTCAGCGACCGCGTGCTCAACGACTACATCCAGTATCACTTCGACCTGGACGCGGCGAACCGCGCGCACTTGCGCGACCCGGAAGTGTCGCCGGCCAAGTTCTGGAACATCACCTACCGCATGCGCCAGGCGTACGGCCTCAACGACCTCACCACCATGTCCATGCACCTGCTCTTCAAGATGATGAAGGAGGACGACGCCGTGTTCAAGAAGTACTGGCGATTCGCCGGGGGACTCCACGACCAGCATCCAGCATGTGACGCCAAGTGCAAGAAGGAACGGCTGTGCATCATCAGCACTCAGGTGGACGCAGCCATGGAGGAGTGCCTCGCCGGCGTCGGCCAACTGCTCGCCTCGCTCGGTCTTGTGCTGGCCGCCGGCCTGCTCGCCCGACTCGCCGCGTAGCGCGCGGAGCGAGGCGCCGACCGAGCGCCGCGCCGGCCCGCTCCCGCACAGGGCGCGAAGTTGAGACGTGCGCCGAGGCAGCGAGGGGGGGGGCTTACGCCAGCTGAAACGTGGGTCGAAGCGGGAGGGGAAGTCAGCTGAGACGTGCGTCGAGGCGGCGAGGGGGACATCGAGTGAGACGTGCGTCGAGGCGGGGGGGGGGGGAGTCAGCTGAGACGTGCGTCGAGGCGGGGGGGAGTCAGCTGAGACGTGCGTCGAGGCGGGGGGGGGGAGTCAGCTGAGACGTGCGCCGAGGAGGCGAGGGCGGGCGCGTCAGCTGAGACGTGTGCCGAGGCGGCGAGGGGGCAACACGTCAGCTGAGACGTGCGCCGAGGCGGTCGCGCGCTCACTGGCTGGCACGCAGAGCAGGTCGACTCACGCTGACGCGGCGCCGGAGCGCTAGCCCGGCTCGTGGCGCGCCGGCGGTGGTGGATGAGCCAACACAACCGGCGTCGCTCTGTTCGCGGCGAATGAAAGGGGGCAGCGTGCCTGTTTTCGAATATCCTCATTGTCACTGCGATCACGTCCAGACGAGATGAGTGACTTCCTTCAGAAATCAGAGCCCGAGCATACCGCATGCAGTCACCTGCGAGCTATTGCCATTTCTGTGTCCGACGTGATGAACGTGCGAACATACCCATACAGCATGCCCAGCCCATGTTCGCGCTTCGCGTCTGCAACGCCACACCCGAGAGCCGGCGCCTGCCCCCCGCTATCTGGTGTGGCGCCGTCCGCTGCGTCGGACCGGCGGCCGACGCTGCTCCGGCTCTCCATCGGCCGACGCTCTGCCGTCCGGGGCGCCCCCGCGCCGCTGCCATCCCTGGGCTGGCGACGCGACACGGCGGTCTCGGCCGCGTGCCGCTCGTCGTCAGCTCGCGAGGGGGGAGGGCAAGGCACGCGGCGTCGGGCCCGCCGACCGCCGAACGCTGCTTCATTTGTACCTATGTTTGCTTGTTCATGTTCGCGTCGATTATCACACCTGGTAGTGGCAAAACGCTTGCGGAGGAGTGCCGCTGCACGCGGCGCGTGAGTGAGTGGTGAATGAAGGTAGCGGGAGGCTCCCCATCCCTCTTGCGGAGGGGTGCCACATCACGCAGCGCGTGGGTGAGTGGCGAATGAAACGTCGGGGGACTCCCAACTACTCTCTTATACCAGTTTTCAAAGAGAGCGGAAGTCGATGCAAAGGTTTACAGCTACGCACTGTGAACGACGCGTCTTGACCTTGCGGCCAAAGCCGCGGGCCAAGGCTCCAGCGCAGGCGTACATTAGCACATCACGGATCTATCTATGCTGTCGTGCAACGTGATCAAATAAAGCGACGGAAGCCATGCGCGTGTGCGCAACGCCTTCGACCACACCGCTGGTGTCACACCACACCGCATCAGAGTCGGCTGGCAACTGTGCGCGAGCTGAGCGGCAGCCTAACACCCCACCAGACGCTTGTAGACCAAACACCTCCCGGAAAGATGAGGTGCTCGACGAACTGTGCACGGTCGCCACATGGCTGTGTCGCGCATTATTCGAAACTCAGTACTAAATGTCGCACGCTTCGGTATCCAGTGGCCCGTGGTCAGGACGGACCGATTCCGCTAATGTTGGCGTTAATGAGAGAATTCGGGCCAGATGGTTGGCTAGTTTGACTAGATGACTAGTTTAGCTGGATGACTAGTTTAGCCAGCGCGGCAGACGAGTGACTAATTCAACCGCCTCTGATCATCCCCTCAAAACTTTTACTCGGTGCGAAAATTTAACATACATTGATCAAAATATTTGTGCATAAGCGCTGAATTAAGCGCCAAATATGTTTCGGCTTCAAAAATAAAATGGAACTTGAATGTGTGATGGAGCCCTTGGTATACATGAATGTGCTACAGCCGTTGGAACAGCCGGACGGTGTGCTGAAAGCCAGACATACTGAAATGCCTGATAGCAGCTGGACTAAATGCAGCCTCCAAACCAGTCACTATGCGTTTGATCGCTGTTACTCGAGCAGACATTCGCTCCAGACCGAGCTTCCAGCAATGCGGCATCTGCCGCTGTCTGATTTCCTCCGCACAGATGGTGTCCCCAACAAAGGCGTACCGATAACTGTCTCATTCTCCAATCAGGTGCGTACCGACTAACGTCTCATTTTCTCCCCAAAGACAGGGTACCCAGCAAATGAGTGCTCCCCATTGTCTTTTTCTTTCCGAACGGTGCCCCCAGGACGTGAACGTGATTCGCCCAACCAAAGGCCAAAACCCAATCTTAAAATCAACATTTTTACAGGAGGGTTTCTTGTTTTATTCAAATACTGCATCAACAATCCAGAAAACAGCATATTCTCGCAATGGCAATGAGCGTCGACACGAGCCACCAGGATACGTGGCTACTAAGACGGCTCGCTGGGTAAAGCGGGCACCCCGCGGGCTCCTGGCGCCACCACCGATGGCGAACCACAGTTGCTGCTCGCTGCCACTAGACGCCGCGTCGGGCGGCCCACGATGGAAGGCGGCCAGAAACTGATAAATGTATGTAGCGGGGCCCGAGCTCCTCAGTTTCTTATGCCGGGTCGGCATGTATTTCAAATCTAGCCCTACAGGAGGGTCTCAGAGGTACCCTAAGGTTTTACAGAGTAACTTCTGAACGACATTGAGCACAGGCCAAAGTTTAGAGTACGCGCGGCCTTCCCAGTTCATGTGGTTTTGAGGCTTCTCAACTACCTCGGTTATTCATGACGTCTTTCTGAGGGCCAAATTGGTGACATTTAGCTCAGAAGTGCAACGCACATTTCTCGCAGGAAATGCAATTCAGAGGTGCTTTAGACTGCTTTGCATCAACATGTCGTGCATTGATATCGTTCCGGTTGCTTCTAAAAGGTCAGGTAACTCAGGGACAAGAGACGTCAAACTCTACTTTCCAGACTTTTTCCAGATTTGATCTTTTGAAGATCGCAGGATTTAATCCTTCATGGCACACACCTCAGAGTTTTAAAAGACTACTCTAACACGTTCTATCCTAGCCGGCTGGATCTTGGCTCGGCTCGGCTCGCGCACACGCCGTCTCGGCGCGCTGCGTCCATCATAATGCCACAGCGACACGCACAAGCGGGCGCCTAGATAGACACTGCCCGCCTCCGCGGGCTCGGGCACCAGTCAGCTGATTACCCGTCAGCTGACCTGGCGGGTCGGCGCCCGAAGGCTTGTGTCATGACATAAGGCTGTGGGGCTCCTTCAAAACATCATGATGCGCCCCATTGATGTGACTTGCTTAATTATCGGTACAGCCGTGCGAGTTAATGCAACGGTGACCTCACTCTATTTGACCTGCAGTGACATATAACAGATCGCACATTTCGGTGTACACTATTGCCAATCTGATACGTTTTCTGAGAGCTATTCAACGCCGCTCTCCGCATTGTCCAAGCTGCATGCTCAGTTCTTCAGATGACAGGAGGGGTCTATCGAGAGCTAATTTGACTCCGATAACCTGATTTGGCCCGCCAAACGTCACGTTCACCAGTGTTAAGCCATACAAACCTGATATAGGTTTCAAATACCATATTCCCCTGGCTCTAGCTTGCTTAAGTTTTACTTAGATCTCATAGGAGCGTGTCACACAACCTTTTCCAGCGAGGTTGAAAAGCGCACGCTCGTAGGGCGATGCTACCTTATACCCGACAGTGTGTTTCGGTGTCCTGCTCCATAAAGCGGTACTACGCGGAGCCGCCAGCAGAGCAGGACAGGACGGCTGACCCGCAGGCACCGCGCCAAACCCGCGGTCCACCCCTCTCGTCGTCAAAGACCTCCTTTAGCCGAACACCGACGCTCAAGAAACGGCTGGAACAGCCCGGAGTCGGGACCACCGTCAGGCATTAGGTGGCAAAAGAGGAACTGTCAATGTTGATCGTCACTTTCCAGATACCATCGCTTCCCTGTGAATGGCAGCATCGCCTCATTTCCCCCTCCGGCAAATGCGGCGATGTCAGCACTGAATACTACCGAAGGTGCTCACTTCAAAAAGGACCACCGATCCGTGCCCACCACTCTCTCGCAGCTCCGTCTCAGCAGTTCCCAGCACGTGTGAGCACTTCCCACTGTCGGGGCAGTGAGTGGTGTCGGAGTATTCACCACTGTCGTAGTGGTGAGTTGTATCGGGGCACTCACCACTGTCGGAATGGTGAGTGGTGTCAGATTACTCACCACTGTCGGAGTAGTGAGTTGTATCGGAGCACTCACCACTGTCGGAATGGTGAGTGGTGTCAGATTACTCACCATTGTCGGAGTGGTGAGTTGTATCAGAGCACTCACCACTGTCGGAATGGTGAGTGGTGTCAGATTACTCACCATTGTCGGAGTAGTGAGTTGTATCGGAGCACTCACCACTGTCGGAATGGTGAGTAGTGTCAGATTATTCACCACTGTCGGAGTAGTGAGTTGTATCGGAGCACTCACCACTGTCGGAATGGTGAGTGGTGTCAGATTACTCACCACTGTCGGAGTGGTGAGTTGTATCAGAGCACTCACCACTGTCGGAGTGGTGAGTGGTGCCAGAGCACTCACCACTGCCGGAGTGGTGAGCTGTATCGGAGAACTCACCACTGTCGGAGTGGTGAGGGGTGTCGGAGTACTCACCACTGTCGGAGGCGCTGGCTCCAGGCGGCCGCCTCGTGGATGAGGTAGCCCGGCGCCACCAGGCCGGCCGCCGCCATGAGCCGCTGGTACACCGGCTGCCAGTCCAGGTGCTCCACGCCGCCGCCGCACGAGACGCGCTTCACAAACTGCGGGTTGTGGTTCAGCACCTCGCCCGTGGCTGCGGGGACGGGGCCAAGTTAGGTTCAGCCGACGACACTGGGTCCAGTAAGGACATCTTCATGGCGGGATATGTTACACACGTTTGCGGTCTGTCGGTGAAAGACACATTTTTTTACATTCCGCAGCTAAAATCCAGGGCATTGGGACCGTAGGCCTTGAGCGGTCTAGGGAAGCTGTCACTGCGACCACGAACAGGCGGCTTTAAAACTGCGGTCGGAAAGCAAAGTAACCGGCAGTGTTTGTCATAATACATCTAATACGGCCTGGGAGGCGAGATTATTTCCCAGAAAGGCTCGTATCAGACCCACCCAAATCGCACCGGTCAGCCTGTCTGTCTCGCTAATAATAATCTCGCTAAATCTAGCTAAAATAACTGCCTCGTTATCTGGAGAGGGCAAAATTGTTGTCTGGCGCCCGGTCGTGAATAGTATTCCACAGTCAGCGGGTCCCGCCGCCACCAAACAAAACGCCGAGCCAGGGATGAAGGCATTTGTTTCCTAGTCTTCTTGCACCTATCTATACGCTTCTACATAGTACCTCATGAAAATAACTACTTGAAAAAAATTATTTGCCCAGAGCCGATACGATTGGCTCGGAAACTCTTTGTTCGGCCACACGCGGCAAGCTCAGATCCTGACTGAGCGGGGCTAACGGCGCGCCCCTGGTGTCCGGACCGGGAACTAACACATGAATATCGTAGTTTTTTTCTAGATGGTGCTCTGGGCTTTGTCTTATTCATGCTATTAACCGATGACTCGCACGTCGCTATCATTCAATTCGCCGATGACACACATATGACAAGAGCGGCTCGCAACAGCTCATCACTAGGATGAAGTGTACCATCAGCGCCTTGCATAAATGGTTTTGCATCAACGGCATGAAGCTCAGCACAACACACGCAGATGGCAGTGAACGGCACTCCGGTATGTTGTGCGACTTCCCCCACACACTGAGCTTCCGCGGCTCAGTCAGAGATATCACAGAGATATCACAGATATCAGAGTCAATAACACCAGTCACCCCAGCGTTCAGGAACATATCAGCATGAGTCAGAAACGCAATTGAATACTCGTAGCGTTACTACGCGCGACCACGACCCTTGCGATTTTAAAGAGCATTGTGCGAGCATTGGTGTTGTTTCTAGTCAGATACCCAGGTCTGCATTTGGCTGATGTCGCAATATCAGCCACATCCTCAGCCACATCGTGTGCGGAGGATCGCGAATTTCTGTGCGTGAGTGGTGACAGGTAGGAGGCGATGCGTTCCCGAATCAGACACCACGCGACAGCTCGGATGGCGGGCTGACGGCCACCTCATAAGAGTTTCAGGCTGTGCGCGCAGCTCAAACAGGCATTGTAACCGGGCGGTCAGAGAGCATCCGTCTCAAGACCGAACGCAATATCAGTGAGAGGCACCAACACGACATGAAACGTGCCGACTGAAGGACGATTATGAACGACAGAAACAGGCAGGTGCCGAATATGACAACGGGGCGTAAGAGAGCAGAACATGCTCAGCGTCGACATTCGAGCGCCGGTCTTTCGACGCGTCATGAAACCGATAGTAGCATCGATTTAGTCCATCAACTCAGACTTGTGTACAACTAATAATATTCGTGTATGTGTGTGTCAACGCACCAGCCTGTCAAGAGCATTTCACTTGTGTTGTGTTCCCTGCATGTGTCATTTACCGTAGCGTGCCTAAAGCCACCGCGTGGATTTAAGGTAAATACATTGCCACCACCACACCTATGATTCATCCGCGTACTCGGCCCGGGCCCTACATCTGTTTATGCTCGGAAGACCACAGGCTGGCGGACAGCCCTGGGACGCTACATGCCACCGGACGCCAGATCGCCGGGCTGTGAGGTGGGCGCGGACTTCAGGACAACTTACGCTGTGGGGATTTGGAATTAGCTTTAACGCGGAGCAGCGCGACACAAAACACTGCATCGTTAACTTCTCGCAGACGCTGGAAACTGCAATTTTGTTTAGTTTTTAGCGCACGTGACCGTGACAAATTTGCCCACCGTGACTGTGTGAAAATTTGCCACTGGTCAGTGATACAACACGAAGCCAGCAGCACGTAACACAGTACGCGTAATCTGTCTACTCACTTGTGGTCCACTCCTTCCCGAGGCCGCCAATGTACAAGTGCTCATCCTTCACCGCCATCCACTCCCCTGAAAAGTGAGAGAAAGTCACAGTGAGGGAGATCCGCGGCGTTGCTAGACGACTGGTCAGCAGAAAGTCGCTCAAATGAATCCAACGGCCGCTTCAGGCAACAGCAACACCCGCAACTGCCAACACCGCGGGCATTTCACGCGGCAAGTCCCGCCACCATGGGTTGATTGTGAGTACGGCGAGCAGGGTCCAGCTGGCATCGCGGGGGTCGACTGTACGCCGTTAGGATGATTGTGAGTTATTCGCAACGGCAACACGAGTCGGACCGACAGGGTCCAACTGGCATCGCAGGAGCTGACTGTACGTCCGTTAGGCGATTGTGGATTATTCGTAACGGCAACGGCAACACAAGTCGGACCAGCAGGGTCCAGCCGAGATGGCAGGAGCTGACTGTACGTCCGTTGGCCGATTGTGAATCCGTCGCAACGGCAACACAAGTCGGACCGACAGGGTCCATTTGGCATCGCGGGAGCCGACTGTAAGCCCCTTGAGCGATTGTGAATTCTTCGCAACGGCAGCACAGGTCGGACCGGCGGCCCGCGCGTCCCCGGAACGCGATGAACATGGTGCCAGGTGAGCGTTTGGCGATCACGTGCGGCACACCCCGACACTGCCGCCGGGATGGAGCTACCACATAGGAAAAGCAGCGACGAAAAGGAAGCATGTCGACCGATTACAGGTATCTGCGGGGGTTTACGGGAGCATTCGCATGACTACCAATCCCACCACAACATATGGGACTGTGATGGACTCTCCAGGGATTTTGTGATAAATCCCGGACATAACAGGGATTCCATGATGCAAACCCAAGCCCACATATTACGGACTGGTTTCTGTTGGCATAAAACACAGGCCTTAACACATGCCCGAGTGACCGGCTGAATACCCCTCGCTGGGGTGGGGATTAATTTGACCCCCGTAAAATCTCGAAAGCTAAGATAACAGAAGTATACGATACTTCGCTACAGCTACAGAAACAAAACTCACAAGGCACATTGACCTATGCATGAACTCACTTGAGTAGAAATTTCAGACTCCTAGGGCATGACCTTGTGTTGAACAGGGTCAAACAAGGTCAAACTTCAAATTGGTGTCTCAAGTGCCCAAAACCTACCCATGCAATCCCCGTGAAGCTGGATACCCATTGGGTATCCAACTTGGGTATAATGAATACCCGTTCTAAGAAAAATAGCAATCAGGCCAGTGACCTCGTTTCACCTTCATAGTCTCAAGGTGACCAAATATCTACCAGGCTATTCCTATTTTGTCATTCGACTAAGCGCCAGACATTACGTATAGCGGTATGTTTCGAAACACAAAATGTTGACTTGGGTCCTTCTAAGTCATTGAGCTACTCTGATCTTTCAAAGGTGTCTGTTGCGGTCCCTGTCATAAATGTATTAAAAACGAGCACCAGAAACCATCCCATAAAACCAAACTCCCGAGTAATAATACAGGTTAGTGCTGACCTCGGTCTGACCTTCATACATGACACCAGGTCAATATAATTAGTTGCAATTCTGAATTCATTTGGTTTGCTGCCTAAAAAACTATCTTAGATATGTATGGCTTCTTCCAACGCTCCGCTGTTGCATCACATTTAACGATTCACCAGAAATGCCCTTCGCCGGCAGCCATGTCCTGACTTTGACCCGCCACAGGCCAGCGACCTTACAAAGTACATCTAATTTTGTCATCAACGATTCACTATTCAATTATCTACAGCTCTGAAAAGTATGGGGCGGCTACGCCGCATCGCTCGGAAATCATTCTGGAAAACTTCGGGGGTTACTTTGATCCTCCTACCCAAGAGCATGTTAGCATATAAATAAGAAAACACATATGCTGTAGCATGTAAATGGTTCAGTGCTATGTTAATGTGCGGCGACTGCACAACGCTCCTTTGTCATACGGCAGTTACATGTGTTAGCATACCACACGACCAAAATTAACCTAAAAAGTAACTTTGCCAGCGATTGGCCGACAGAGTTCACTTGTTCGAACACAGCTCAATAACGATCCCTCGCAGCAACACTAATTTTTTAGCACTAATTCATCGCTCAATTTGGCATCCTTTGTAAAAATTGGAAGCCTTAGTCTGCCAAGGTCAGTGACTTAGGTCAAGTCAAAAACGTCAAATTCTGAAAAAGCTTTGACCACGCACACCTTTCGTGCGCTATTTGTTATTGTTCAAACTGTTTGTCGTAATAGAACATGGCAGTACCTACAGTTTGTTTCTTTCAGATTTCTCAAAACAGGCGAGGTCAGTGACCTAAGGTGAGAACAGTTTTTGACATTTTTCCTCCATAATGGGAAACTGTACGCATTTTTGTGTGGTTTTAGCGTTTGAATATGAGTCAACGACTACTAGCTCACATGCACAACCATTATATAACCACAGAGCACATGACATTGGCCCAGGTCATAACCTACCCTAATTGAAGCCTTCTGCAAAACACATGCCGAACCCAACATACGCAGTTATATTAGTCATTTTGGGCACAGGATTAAACTATTTCGCTAAAAGCATGTTGTGGCATCATTACAATGCATACTGAAGTTACAATAGATCACGTAAGGAAATGCAAGGTCATGTTAGGTCACCCAAGGTCGATGGCATATGTTGCCAGTGGCGGGGAACCTAGATGAACGAGCGCGATGCGTGCAACCACCCCTACGTCGTGTTTGTGAAGCTGATGACACATAATGTCATGTATCAACATGCCGGTTCTCAGTTTGTTACGAACGCATCGTCAAGCGTTGAAGGGACTATGCATAATGTATACAAGAGCTTTGCCATCTCGAGTAACAACACACCATTTCTGACCACAGAAAAGCAATGCAGTCGTCAATTAAACCCGATTAGCTACATTTTTCGTTTGGATGGTTTGTGAATTTGACCTATGTTGACCTCACCCGACCTCTAGGTAACCCTAAAATTGCATTTTAAGGTCTGGGATATGTTTTTCCCACAGTTGCATCCTATAAAATAAGCTTAAGCCAGAAGCACATTGCGAAAGAAAACAAAAAATATTGTTCTTGAAAGCTACTGATTAACCAATTTTGAAAGATGACCTGACCTGACCTGACCCTTGTGGGGGGACAAAAATGACTGGAATAGACTCCATGCAGTATTAACACTTGTGCCCTTAATAATAACCTCTTAACGCTCAGCTTTTGTGCTCTCAATATCCGTCTCGACGAATAAACACGTGTTTTGACTGCATCTATCAGAACGAGCGTTTTTCGTTTCGTGACCTCTGGTAATCTCATATTTGACCTCAGGTCAACAATCTTTTGTGAATCCTTCATGACTTGACGAGACCTCTACACGACTTGACCTCCACAGCGGTATCTTTGCTTTTTTCTCGTAAGACGTCTGGAGGTAGGAGATCACAAGGGGTAAGTTAACTCCACGGCCGGGCACTGTTGTATCAGACCCCCGACCTGGCGCAGGTTTTATTTGATTTTATGTTTATTTTCGATTATGGACATTACTCAGTGCATAATATGAAGAGTGGATTGGCGCATAACCGGAGCGCTTAAATCTGAGCGCCTCTTAAGTCAACTAAAGAGGCGCTCGGAAGCGCGCTTAAGTTAGGTTGAGTACCATCAACTGCAAAAAACGCAGCGTCCAAAATACCACACATTAACATATAACAAAGAGATGAAGACACTTTTACTACACGCAAACTAAATGTATTAAACTATCACCGTAAGACGTCAAGAACCAATCATTTACATCACAAACTTGAAATATTTCAAAACATCTCACGTTCGATGTCCCCCGAGCGTGTCCCGTTCTGGCTGTCTTGCCTTCCGACCACCGCCTGCGCCCGGCGGCGTACCCACCTTTAAAGCCCTTGGCCACGGCGCCGTCGCCGTCCGCCAGGATGAGCCAGGGCACGGCCTGACCCGAGGTCAGGCGGTACACCACCCCGGTGCGGTCGTCGACGGAGAGCAGATGACCGTCAAACACGACTAGCTCCGACAGCTCCATACCCCGACCGCCCTGCGTGACGCGCACACCGTGTCAGACCGCGGGCCGTGTCAGACTGCGGCGGTGACCTGGCCTGGGCCGCATTCCCCGCTACCAAACGCCGCCCACAAGCTGCAACCTACGTCATAGGTGTAGATAGTTAGTCATAGTATGACGCCGTAGTAGAAAGTCGTTTGTGTGTGACGTAGGCGCTCACGACGTCAGAGGTAGCAGCCCTGGCGAACGCAGCCCATGTCACCGTGCTTGCCGGGTGTGCTGTGCTGGGGAGCGGACGTGCTGGGACCCGCGCGTGCGGACAGTCGGGACAACGTGGACACACCGTCAGAGACCGTACGGACATTCAGGACAACGTGGACACACTGTCGGAGACCGTACGTGTGGACACTCCGGCAGACCACCAACAGGTGGCCAGTTCTTACACCTTGAGGCCGTCCTATCCCCGGTAAACGTCAGAACTCGTCTGAGCGTACTGCTCATATCTTTGCTGCCCGGATATGCACGAGCACATCACGGGCGCGCTTCTCAGACCGTGCCGGAGCGAGTCGGCATCAGCACGCGTCAGGCACCGCAGCTCCGCGCTCCGCAGAGGTCTGCGGGAGGTGCGCGCCGGCGGCTTCGCAACATTCTCACGGCCGCTTCAGCGAGGCCGCAACGGAGGACACGCACCACGGCGGTTGGCTGGCCCACTGCTTGCGTGAACACGGTCCATCGCGTAACACCAATATCGCAGGTGACCCATTGGTGTGACGTGACGAGAGGTACACTCGAAAGCAACCGAGCAGAGAACGGTAAAGCAGCCAAGTGACACAAACCGGATAAAAGCGGCCAGTTATACGGAAAGACTCGACTTACTAGGTACTTTACCAAAAGCTAAAGCGACCCAGACCTGACATGCACCAGTCCCTGATCCACACCAGCCCAGTCACCGTTAGACTGACGCAATCACCGCGACCCACCTGCGCCAGTGAAGACGTCAGCGTGACGTCATCCCCGTCCCACCAGACGTCGGCGGCGCGGCGGCGCTCGTCCCAGGAGAGCCAGCCTCGCCGCAGCACGCTGACCCACGCGGCGCCTCGCCGTGACCCCGTGTCCAGGTCACTGATGACGGCCACCCGGTAGCGCACGCCGCCCGTCTTGGTGGCCACCGGACGCGTCAGCGGGTATGTGGTGTTGCACTCGCTGGAGGGAAGAGAGGTGGGCGGACAGGGGTCAGCGCTTGGAGCGGGCGGCGGCACCGACGAATTGTTCACTACTGGCGATCCTGTCACGGTGGCACAGTACACGGAGTCACATTGGCTGCTGCGCACCGCAGGCGGGATCGCCCGAGCTTTCAACGACGCGTTCGCCTGGCCCGGCGCGGCGCTGCCTCACGGGAGCCTCGGGCAAGGGACGGCGACGGCGGTGACCCCCAGCGGGCAGGCAGCCGGCCAGGACACCGGGCGAGCAGCGTGGCCCGGTCGGTCGGGCCATCCCCCAGCCGTCCCCGTCCCCGAGCCTTCCCCGCCCCTGAGACGTCCCCGTCCCCGAGACGTCCCCGTCCCCCAGCCGTCCCCGTCTCCGTTCCCGAGCCGTCCCCATCTCCGAGCCGTCCAGTCCTCAAGCCGAACCCGTCCCTGAATCAATGGTGAGTCCGTCTCTTTGGATACAGCTTCAGTTTCGATTACAACGTTGGACGTTTCGGTATCACCACACCCAGTTTTCGCCAGGGTGTGACGATGGTAGTGGCGCTGCAGTCGCATGCAAACAAAGGAAACGCAACCGGACTAACAGTTACTGAGGCTGGACCCCGCATCAGAACTTCGATATGTCACATTCTGAGTGACACCAGTGGCCCCAAAAACCAGGCCTTGCAAAAATAGTCGAGATTGCCATGATTGACCCTCCCCTCCACTCCCTTCATTTTGAATGGTACCTGTTCGTTACAACCTCACCACAGGCCCATAGCCATACCAGCCGTAGGACCTTCGAGTCTATGCATTAAGGGCCTCACCTGGGTCCTGATGATGCATCAGGAGTCTCACCTGGGTCCTGACGATGCGTCAGGAGCCTCACCTGTGTCCTGATTATGTGTCAAGGGCCTCACCTGCGTCCTGATGACGCGTTAAGAGCCTCACCTGGGTCCCGCCAGGCCGGCCGGTGTCCACGGTTGCACGGTAAGACCCTGCCGACCGCGCTGCAGCAGCAGGTACAGCAGCACCACCGCCGCCGTCACCACCAGACCAGCCACCACGCGGCTCTGTAGGCGCACCGTCGAGTTGCCTGCAGGAGGCAGGCAGCGCCGGCGTGGGCGATAAGGGTCGCGCACCACGTGCGCCCCCCGAGCTGTTGGGGACAGCTCTTGAGGACCAGTTGAATTCGTCTCTTTTCACTACACACAAATAGCTGGTATAAATGCAAAATAATGTGGTACTAATCAAGCAGAATCTGGTATGAAATCACAGCAAGGGCACGAAACAGTTGACAAGCAGGTCAAGCATTGAGAAGACAATCAGTTTGGTATGCCGAAGTAGTTGAATGAAATCGTCATATCATCAAAAATCAATGAAGTGACAACTATAATCGTGTTGCCTCTGAAAAGGATGAAAACATCATGGGAAACAGACAGGGCGCCCCATATTCAAAGAAGCGTGTATGAAACCAACAGGAACAACCAGTATATGCAAACACGACCCATGACAGGCCCGACTGTTGGTATGTACCACGGGCACAGCCAGTGCCTTGGCGAGGGGACGCACAAGATTGAGGAAAACGCCGTCATTGATTGTGTCATTCTGGCGTCCGGGGGTGCCCAGGTCGACCTGGGGGCCCTTAGAAGAAAACATAGTATCATATTGGTCTCCTCCCTGACGCGGGAGGCCTTCTGACCCGCGCAGATGATCCCGGATTGACGCAGGAACCCAAAATGACGCAGAAAGCTCGCTGGTTGTGGCAGATGGTCCAATAATTGGAGAGGAGCCGACTGTGCTGTGCGGTGTTGGTGATCTCGATCCGAAAAAGACGGGTGCCCTGCCTCAGGGATCCCCGATCAGTGCAAGAGGCCGTCACACTAACATTTGAGATCATGAACTTTCGGTCGGGGGTCGTTGGTGTGACCCACGACCAGCCCCTTGGGCCCTTCAGTCTTCCAAAACGAGGCATTGATCTCTGCTCTCGAGAGACGATTCAGGTCCCTCTTCGGGCCTCCATAAACAAGGCCCGTGGCCGACCCGGGCCCACTTGCCTACACAAGATTCCCCGTCAGGCACCGTGGGCCCCGGATCGACACGGGGGCCCCGATAAGTATGTCAGGGACCCAGACTAATGCAAACCGTGAAACCCGGTCTCGGTCCTCTTTACGAACTGGGTCCACAGGGTTCAGACCGACGCGGAACCAGCTGCTCGGTGTGAGTGATCTCTGACCGACATAGACGCCCGCATTGTCTCTGGGTCCCCAAGCAATCGGTGCAAAAGGCGCTCTGATTGACATCTCAGGTCATGGCTACATGGGCCGAAATCCTTTATATGACCTGCAGCCAGTGCTCCGGTCCCTTATGCATTCCAATCGGCCCTTGATCGTCGGTTTCGGTGGCCCCTTGCCGGCACAGGGTACCCAGTCGGGCGTTGTGGGCCACTGACAGACGCTGGGGCCCCAAACAATGTAAATCACTGGCTCCGGCTTTGTCGCTGCTTCGAAAATGGGCAATCAGGCTCACACTGACACGAAGCCGACTGGGCCGTACCGATAGTGTCTGCCGACATATACGCACTTGTCAATCAGGGGGCCCTGATCAGCACAAAGGGCCCCCTGTCTGACATAGGAGTGCCTGGCCCTGTGGGATGGGGCCCCTGAATATGACCTCCAGGCAGCCTTCTGGGCCTTTAAATCCGAACCTAAACTGTTAGTTTGGAGGGACTGAAGTGCACCCCGACCCAAGGGCAGACGACACGTATCCCCTGTGCCCCCCCCCCCCCCCCCCTCCATCCGCCTGTGCCACTAATTTAGCCTGATAGTACGGCATGCACTTGAGCAGTGCCCCACATCAGACATCCCATCAGTGTTGGTAGAAGTGCATACCCATTTTGTATGTGAGGGGAGTTTGGAAGACAGCTTTCCTCCAGTCTTGCATGGCCGCCTGAGCGGGGGAGCAGCGGTTCTCGGTCTCCACGGTCACAGGCAGTGTGCTGGGGTTGGGACAACCTCAGCCACGGATCTGCCAACAAAGGTGTTCCAGATGAGGCAAGTTGCAGAAACTATGAAAACAACAGAAATCACTCATATAAACCATAAACATAGCCATTGCACACAACATGTCCATGCTTAAAAACAAAGGATTTCAGAATGCATGAAGGTAGCTACTTTCAGGAACTATTCCACATTTACATGGGGTTTTGAACTGAAACACCCATCTTGGAGATCATTTGGTGCAGTTCACAGCCATGCACTCCTTAAGACTTGAACCCCTTCAGATTCTGGGCTACAGGCCTGCAAAGTAAGCAATGCAGACTACTTCAGGAGACTATTTCAAGATCACTGAGGCATCCATGACATGCAAATTAGGTTATTCAAATCCTGGTGTTTCACTGGTCATGCTGTGATCAAGGCCAAACATATATCACTGTTGATTTGTTTTCTCCATATCTGTGTGACACGAGATCTCACCCAGCGCACATTAGAAATGACTCCTTGCTGCCTTAAGGGATGGGCTTGGGAATTCCACCTGGCACTGTAATGGCACTTATCATGCACAACTCACAGTTACAGGTTGTACTGAAAGAAATAAATATTTCACCAGGCATGACCAGAATAGCAACGCTGTTGTAGCAAGTACTTTAGAGTGTGCACACCACAGTTGTGAATGTTTTCTATTATCTATGCGTTCTTCATTTACTTCAGCATGTTCAGAGCCAATGATTCAGAGAATTAAATATTGTGATGACCACTTTTAGCAAAAATACAAGACAGTTGAAAGCAAGAAGTTGAAAATCCTAAGCCAATTAACCTGAACTGATTTCAGCACACACCTGCCCAAGGTTTATCACATTGGTGTCAATAAAAAACCTGACAGCAGATGCATGATAAACAAACTGGATTCAGGCCCAGGGTGGAAAACATAATGGGAAATGATGCCCTGAAAATCTTACATCTCTGCTTTGAGCAGTTTTAAAAGCCCTAGTTTGAGCCCGAGTGCATGAGGTAAGTGCTAAGCATCTGTAATATTTTTTACCAGGAATCGAAATTCTACACGGCATCGACCATGTAGGTAGCTACCGCCTACCGGCTACCTTACATGACGCGGTGTAGAATTTCTAAACATCCGTGAAACTATTCAACACAGGCGTTCACGTCTTACAAACATCTCAGCATGAAATAAGAAGCGTAACGATTTAATACCTTACTTCGAGAGCAAGCTGCTGCCACATACCTGTCAGGACCTCTTCTCGTAAACCAACGCAGCCGCGAAACAAGCCGGCCTAACCTGGGGCGGAATTGTAGACGTTGGCTTGGGCGGCCACTATGAATGTAGCTGCTGCGTCTTCTTCGTCAAAAAAGGATTTGCTGTATGCCGCTAAATTGTAAATATCCCGATGAAAGCATTCTATGCATGGGATCGTCCAGCGTTTCAAGCATCGTAACGTGTTAAGTGTATAAAAAAATGCATCGCACGTAAAGTTATTCATACCCTACCCCAGTCTTACTGCAGTAGGAGGGAATCAGAACTTAGACTAGACACTTTTCCCACGGCCAGGAGCGCAGCCAGAGCCTTGGTAGTGGGTTGACAAAGGGCCCCGGATGGTGAAAGCCCTGCCCCTTTCAAATGAAATCACCTGACATGGCCTACTCTATTTCGAGGGGTATGACTTTCTTCGTTTTAATTTTTTTACCACATTTTACTGGAAGAGAAGCAAAATGTACTGAAAAATGTAAGTCAGCGCATTTTGGAGTAACTAAACCGAGGAAAGCGACCACAAGAAGTCATCCGGCAGAGTCATTCATTTAGCAATGATTCAATAGACCTTTTCTAAACCGGTAGTAGTCATACTTTGTCACACTTTGTGCTGGGTTCTACAGAGACGTTGCCGGCTGATTGAACGATATTGTAGATCGAATATCTACAGCGCATATTGTAGATCGAAATGAAGTCACGCATTTGCATGAACACGGCTGAACCATGTTCGCCTAAAACAGTTTCATCGTCGGTCGGAATCGATCGCTGGGAAAAATCATGCAGCACCGTTTAGAACACGCGCGCTCGCAAGTACTAAGAATTTGAGGTCCGACGGCCAGCGTTGCAGTCTTCGCAGGCCGCTCGGCGGCGGTCTTGAGGCTGACACTAAGCGGCGGCCACCGGACGGACGAAAAGGACGATGCATCTGAAATGAGTACCTCTGAACTGCTTAGGGCATGCATTCATGAGCCTAGAAAGTATTTCGAACGTGTAATTCACCTGTGTGGATAATAGGAGCGAACTAGCGTTTACAACACCGCGCACTAGTGCTGGATGCTAGTGGTGGAACTGGAAGAGTAAAAATAAAATATCTATGTCTCGCGTTGATGCAACCGGTTATCTCATCCAGAAAGAATTTTAAAAGCTATAGAGGTGAAAGAGACACTCAGACTAATAATTTGAAAGGTATAAGTAGAATTCGTGACTCTTCTTGCTTCTGAAATTGCGAGCGTGCAGGCTCAAGAATTTTTCTGCAGTTCGCTTCACAATTCGATTCTGTAAACTGTTGGAGGTTTTCAGACAAACATGGCCTGGGCTTTTGTCATGTTTGACCTTATCTCGACCCACGCTATTGGACAAGCATGATATCGCTTACCTTTTCCCGGGCAAAGTGCCCAATGGATGGAACACCAGAGGGAGCATAATTGTTCCCGGCCAGTGGTTGAGGGGCCATCATCCCAGCGCGGGGCACCTACCGGCTGTCGTTCTGGTGACACGGGGGCGGCTGATCATACGTTGATGATGATACGTTCTCCCTTGCGCGAGAAGCCCTCTGATCAGGGCAGCTGGGCTCAGACCGAAGCAGGAGTCCTCACCGACGCAACAAGATCCCTGGTCGTCGCAGGGGGCTCCGTAATTGGGCCCCGTCCATGCCCGCGTTCAGCAGATGGTTCTCAGGCCGACTCGGGCGGCAAGGGTCATTCCATTACCACTTGTAGGGCGCTCCCGACCCTTAACGGACACGGGCCCCTCATTGTTTGTGGGACCCGACCATTGCGAAGAGCGGGTTCTGGTCTTGTTCCTGCTTAGCAAATGGGCTCCCAGGGTTCAGACCGACACGGAGCCAACTGTTCGGTGTTGGTGGTCTCTGGCCGAAACAGAGGCCGAAAAGTATTGTTCCAGGGGTTTCTCACTCGGCGCAAGATGCATTCTGACTGGCAGTTGAGGCCTTATGGCGAGAGGCCTTCAAGAGGCCTTCTGACTTGAGGTCACGACGCTACGGGGTGGCATCCTTAATGTGACTTACAGCCAGCCCTTCGGGCCCCTACTCGGGCCCCTCGAACACTTCCTCCACTGGTGCACCTGGCCCACTCGGGGCGCCTTGCCAGCACAGGACCTCCAGTTACGCGCTGTGGTCCCCTAGCCGATACAGTCGGTGAAGCCTCATTGACTCAGGGGCCCCGCCCCCACGAGCATAAATTGCGCGCCTCGGGTTTGTCCCTGTCTGGGACAAAGCTTCTGACCTCAGGTCCAAAACGACATGGAACCGACTGTCTCGTGTTGGTAATGATTGACTGATGTAGGCTGTGGCATTTGACTGACATTTGCGGCATCTGGCTGGCATTCAGGGGTCCGGTACTGCGCGCCGGGTTCCTGAATGTGACCTACGATCAGCCCTTCGGGTCCCTAATCATATGGACCGGGGGGTCCAAATGGCCTCTCGGACCTAATGGGGGAGGGGGGAGGGCACGAGTCCCCTGTGTCCCCCGCTTGTGCCACTTCCCTCGGCCCGCTCACAGTCGTTCTAGTCCCGTTGCTGTTGCTGCTGTTGTAAGCTTACCAAGGCCCTATCACATCGTCTTTTTGCCTTTTCTTTTAAATGCAAGAATAACGTGGTTCATGTATTAGATCGGCCATGTCGTTGGAATATCCCCACACCATTCAACATTTCTTAAAGAACTACCTGCGGTGGGTGGAGCGTTTTTCTCGTCATCAATGAACAATGCGGCATGACGAGTGTAGCAGCAACGGCACCACCTTTCATCTAATCTCACATAACCGATCATTTGCCTTAGCAGAAAATGCTCCTTTCGACAGCTGTGCAACACCAGCTTTTCTTAGCATTCTTTACTCATGTCTCCGGCACTGCACGTAACTGTACGCTCCTAAGACGGGGAAATGCGGCTTGCTGTCTAATCTGTGTGGTGTGGGACGCCCTACAGCTGGCGGCAGTCGCGGCGCTAAGGATTAAGTGACGTCAGAGGGCGTGACAGACCGTGTCGAGCATTGCAGCAAGATAAGCTTCCGCCGAATAATGCCGCCGTTGGCCCGTAGCATCACGATCAGGTGGTGAGGCAATGGCTCATGCAACAAGCGTCACTGGCCTTGGCGCTGATTGGTGGACTCCATGGATTGGGTAAAGCCATTGATACTCATACGGAACATTTTTTTTTTTACATATTTAGTTCGGACGATTTGAGTTGACTGATTTCTGGGATCGGAGCTCATGCTAAGCCGTGGTTGATATCTGAGCACTGAACTCTTCCATCCAATGATGCAATTTCACACCAAGGGTGGAATTTTATGGCGCGAGTGTACAAAGGGCTGTGTTGGGTATGATTTTGAAGGTATTCGGGCATGGGTTCTGGCTAGTCTGCATGAAATATTATGCGCAAGTTCGTGGATGTCAAGCTTAGAAACCATAGGTTTTGAAGTCTTAAAAAGTGCATGACTGCGAACTACATTCAATAATCCTCAAAGTAGGTTATCTTAATTCGAACCCCGTTACAAATGAGAAAGCTACCTTTAAACTGTTTCATAATTGTAGCTAAAATGCTCGAAAAACTGAGAACGGGTGGGGAGCGGGTGAGTTCAGCTGATTAGCAAAGAGCGATGGGTGGGTATGAGCACAGCCCCTCCGGTAGTGTATGCCTTTGGTAAAGGAAATTGTACCCGTCAGGGCTTCTAAGGCTGATCCCTGAAATCTATCAACTCAAAATCTTCAAACTAAATTTCCAAGAGCTGTTTATCTGTTAGCGTGCCAGCGGAACCTATCTTATTTACGTGACCGCCTCATCCAATTTTACATGGCAAATTGTTGAAATGGCGTTGATATTTACATCAGTCGTCGTGGTGCTGCAAAAATTGTCACACCGTATCACCCATTCGCGGGCGTGGTGGGCAACTACCGACGCTGTATGACACCAGTATTCGCCATCGTTGGTAAGAACCGGCTCCCATCACAGCGGGTGTCATCACTCGGCACCCGCAGAGTCGCTTGTCGAGTGAGCAGGAGACGAGCACGTACAAGGGCCAGAGACATGTAAACCTTGCAGCATGTTTGTGAAGTTAGCGATTTATTCAGTGATTTATCAGCGATGGGCTCCGACTTCGAAGCGATTGCCAAACGTCTCAAATGGTCAATTACGGCGCGAAAGCACCGAATCTGACGTCCGTTTTACGTACGGCGTGAACTTCAAGGTCGTAGTCTAGTGATGTCTTAAACCATTTGGAAATTTAACAGTACTCTGCTGACTAGATGCGTTGGAGTGAATCATGAAAATTATACCCAATTACACTACATTGGCACGAGGGCACTGCCTATCCGTAGTCCGATCAAGTGATTGCAATTCCAAATATATGTTTGTGAGATAATTATTCGGCCTCTTTCATAAGATATCCTATCCTTATGCCCGGACGAAGGACCGAATTCCACCTGTCCGCATATTTAACTTTCAAGCCCTGAAGAGCTCTTTAGGCTCTTAAGTGAGTCAGTAAAAATAAGAGTAAGAACCCTCAAAAGGGGACTGTTTTCATCTCTGGTGCACTGGTATTTCTCTCGCACGTCGTGAGATAGTGTATGGGCTTTGCTACGTGCCGTTCATGGCTGTGATACGGCCGCTGACCAAACCTGTTCTCGCTCTTCCCCGTACATGCGACTCCCTAGGTTTGAAGCGGACCGGCGTGCTCACCAGCCTTAAGCGCGCTGCGCCGGACACTCATGCACTGAGCCTTACGCCCTAACGCCCGGGACTTTTGGCATGGCCCGCAAATGATACTTTGGTGCAAATAGTACTTCCGAAACGAAAACACTTATGGCGTATTTATAGTTACATTGCAACGTTCCGATAGATTTGGTTCCAGGTGACAATTAGGATTATCCAGAATTCCGTCGATGACAGAAAACACGCCTTTTCACCCCTGGTCGTCTGCACAGATCGTGACCGCACATCACGCTGTGACGTGGAACTAACAGAAGCTGTGCCTTTCCGCAGGTAGATCTCTTTCATGCCGATTCCCCGTACCACCTTGGGAA